CACACACACACACTCACAAACATTTTCTTTCTATCATGGTCTCTCCCACAGTCTTCCCGAAGAGCCCACGAATCTGCTCATTCACTACCCACCCCCACCCTCATACTCGTCTCTCTCTCTTTGTCTCCCTCTCTCCTCCGCCCACCCCCTTCCTCTGTCTCTCCCATATCTCCATCTGTAATCTTTCTTTCTCTCTCTCCTCCCCCTTTTCTTAAGGGTATTAATTACTAACTGCAACAGGACCTGCAGAGTACTTAAGTTTACACCTGATAAAACAAGTAACCCTGCCAGCCGTTTCCATGAATGAGAGAGGTCGGCGATTCTTGTGCAGTGACTGATTGTGAGCAGACGACCCACAGCAACAGGGCATGCCGAGCTGGCTGTTGTGTGAGCGCATGCTTCGAACAGTTAGCCTCGAGTTACTCGTCATTTCATAAATCAGCTGGTTTCCTGTGCTTCTATTTTCGTCTGGAATAACACAAAGAAGGGGGGAAATTTTGTTAACAAGTAAGCAAATTTTTCGATAGTTCGTTCATCCAAATTCCACACAAAGTTCTTTGTCTGATTTGATAAGAATGTAACCTCACCATTCGCCCTCCCTTCTTTCGTGTTTGGGCTGACGGGAGCGCGTTCTGAAAAGTCAGTGCTGAGTAAAATCGGACTAGAAATCTGGTTAACCGGTTAATATATAAACGACTAACAAGAACACACCATATTAGGCCTACACCATTGTGCATCCTGAATGAGATAGTAATCCAATTCATAATCCCGTTTCATGTAATTTATTTTAAATCCTGAATTTATAAGCAACATTTTTTGGGCTTTTGGGCTCGATATAATATTGATATGAAATACAAAGTTTTAATTGAAAGGGCATATCTGTTTTATTTACTCACGAAGATAGAATCTAGGTTTCAAATTTGACAGAACGTAATTATTCTGATCTTCATGTTCTCTTGTTTATTTTCAATCCTAAGATAATAAAACACCTTGGACTTCTGATATAGTCTAATTCAATTCAATTGATTACACATAGGCACATAAAAAGATCCGGATCCTAAAAAATGGGTGCGTGCCCAGCTCGAGCAAAAACCGCCGATGCGTTGCGCTCGCCGCCCCTCTCCGACTCTCCGGTCGCGAGATCAGCTTTTCGGTTTTTTTCTAGGTCAAAGGATGCCCCGGAAACACTCCTGATTTTTATTCCCAGGGGTGAAGAAAGATGGCGAGGGGGCAAAACAAAAGTTATGGTGTTGTGTTGTTCTTCGTTGTGTGGAAGCGGGTGTGATTCTTCTCTGGATTAAGCATGTATTTCGTGAAATCAAAGAAAAATTTGGAAGACCAGGATGCTATTGAGCCAATGGAAAGTAAACGCAGAGATCGCTACCAGAGGTCCGATTCGGCTCGTTTGTTATTGCAGGCAATGCCACCACAGCAGTCGAAATCGGACCAACTTCAGCATCAGCAGCTGGCAGCTGACAACGGAAAAGTGCCTTATCCAAAACCGGTTCCAGCGGATACCTTTGTGGCCGGGTCGATCGCAGACCCTGTTGAATTCAGGCCCGAGGAGCTGCCGGACGGAGCCTGCTACAGGCCGAAGAAGGATTTGAAAAATTTAGCCACAGCGGCGAAAGGGAATACAGTAACGGATAGCGATCCCAAGGCTGTTGTAGCCTCATCACCAGAGATGATGTCGGAACAAGTTCGATCAGCTGAGGTAAATAAAGAAGCCCATTTTTATAAGCGTTTATTACTATTCAGGTTCTCTTTTTTAAGGGCCCGATATTGATCTCATTTTCCATCGTCACTTGCTTAGAGCTTTTCACTTGAAGAATTACAGCTTAAAAAAGCTCTTCTCTCTATCTTATGGTATAGATCTAGAGTCTCTAGACAGATAGAATCATAGATCTAGATATCTAGATCTAGATCTAGATCTAGATTCTAGATCTAGATCTATATCATATCTCTAGATATTCTACAGAATCTAGGCCTATAAGAAACGATTAGTCAAAGTTAAGTTGTACAGCAAAAAGGGACAGAGTCTAAGACAAGTCAGATGTGTGCTTACCCTGGCCTTGGCCTTGACTTTAACAAATTTTTATCTCTTTTTTTTTAACTGCTCATAAAATTTACATCCCTGCCTTGGCTTACCCCCTGCCTTTGTCCTTTCCACCCTGAATCAGACCCTGGCCTGAACTTCACCTGAACACTCCCCCCGGACTCCTCTTTATCTAAAAAATATAGGCTATTAATATAGGGCTTATTTCATAAAATTAGCTGCAAAGTGAACAGTGTTACAAGTGAACAATTAGATCTACTTTTATTTTTTTGTAATGCCACTCCTACTTTTCATGACTCTAGAGTTGATCATATCATTAAAAGCTTGTATGTCAGTGACAAAGTCCAAAGCAGTCTTTATGATATATCTGGGACAAAGATAAAAATGTCCTAGACCTTCCTTTGCTGAGACTGAGATTTATCATATTTCTGTATACAGAGTGCCCATTTGGGGATCAGGTCTGGTCGGGGCGGTTTGCTAGCCAGATTTAGGGAGCAAAGGGGCTATCGCAGCACAAGCCGATCGTGCCCAGCCCGTTGCCTCAAAAACAAACACGCTTGTTTTCAGTCGTTGAGTGGGGCGATCGCCCCCGACCCGACCCGATCCCCTCCGCAATGGGCGCCCCTTGTTAGCAGACAACACACCATCCTCCTCCTCTCTCTCTCTCTTTGGCTGACTCACTACTTTGCTAGCATGATACTACTCAGCTTAGCTATTTATTCCTTCAACATCAGTCATACGGTACAGAACACTGACTGATTAAAAGATTAGCTAAGCCAATTCTTAAATTTAAATCAGGATTGTAATTTTATAACTTTACTTTGTACCACAGTATATTTTTGAAAATGTGTTACAATTATTTTTTTCACTTCTTGTAATGTTCAAGGCTGTTAATGCAGTAAAACGGGAATATTAAGACCAGAGAGCCTCTTTTGGCAGGCCTGATATTAAATTTTTTTGGTGTTTAAATAATTACAGGATTTCTTCATCATTTTCTTGACATGCATGATTAGTGTCTTTATGGTGCCATATTTTATGCAAAAAATAAGGTTTAATATTATATTGGTCCTGGCCTATCACTACACAAGCACATCATCTCTGTAAGATATAATATAGTAATAAAATTATAATAATTTAATGATTTAAATGATAATAAAAATAATAACAATAATCGTTAAAAAACTAGCCTGAGATATTTATAATTTTATTTATAAATTTATGCATGAGGAATAGTAGCGCTATTTTTTGTCATGTAAACCTCAAGTTCTTTACTTTACATAGATAGGGTATCAAACTGGGAAATTCCATGTATTCAGTATTCAGAAGTGCTGGCACTCATGCCGTGTACAGACACACTCAGACGCTTACACACATACACACACGATCACTGTTTCTTACTCTCACGTAAAACACACACTCATTCTCTCTGTCACTTCTTCCCCGAACCTGCATGTGTACACATAATAATAATAAACACATGAGCCCACAATCACACTCTTCTGCTCACACTCGTTTTACTTGCATTCTTGCTGGATCTCATCATTGCTGTTGATAGAGTCTAGGTATAAATTGTTCTCCAGGGAGGGCGCCCCAAAAAATGGAGGTGTACTTATCCCTTTTTGTTACAACTGCATGTTCTTGTCTACAAAGCGGAATTGAAATCAGGACTAATTTTCACTTAAATCTTTCGCAACCGTAAGGTCGTCGGTTTGAATCCCGTCAGGGGCCCGACGTTGTGTCCTTGGGAAAGGCATTTTACACTAATTTTCCTCACTTCACCCAGGTGGGAATGGGTACCCGGCTATAGACAACGAAAGATCTTGTCAGTTTGTTAGTGTTTGAGTGCTTAATCAGCTGCTTGCACTGTATGCTTCCCGGGAAGCTGAGAATGTTTCGGAGTGTTCTATGGTCTGCTGGGGTAATAATATAGTGTAAAGCGCATAGAGCCTGCTGTTGAGCGGGGATATGCGCTATACAAATGCTATTTATTATTATTTATTATTGTTTCAAGATTTGGCCTGAAATTTTCCAGTCGGCTACGTCGTATATTTGCCCTCTGGTTCCTCTGGTAGAGCATTCCAATCTCACCCAGATGGGCAGAAAATATGTGTAAGCGGACTATGCACATTGTTTTAAGTGTAGTCAAGATTATACGCAGTGCACACTGCCAATTTAATTTAGTCAGGGCTGACCGATTATTTTCTTACTTTGTCGAGTGGCAAAAGCGACCGTTTGGCATGTCTGAATTCAACTTAATTCGGCTGTGACCTTCAAAGTTACAAGTCTTATAAGGTCGCGAGTCAAACTGGTTGTGTTGAGGTTATATTGTGCCAAAATGGTAGCTTGTGCCTGGCCATGAATGAAAATCAGACTGGTTCTGACAGAATTTTAAGTGAATCAAATTGAAAATGTGTTCTCTGGGTATAATTAGGCCCTATTGAGTTGTAATTGAAATAGAGAAATGGGGCGTTTGATGGGATGTCGGGGACAAGAATTTTGTGATGTTGGATGGAGAATTTGTTTTATACAGTATGTTATACAGCTGAACATTTGTTGCAGGTTATAGTTTTTATACGTAGCCAGCTAAGTCGTGTCTTTTATGGCTGGCTTTTGGCTTTCTTCCGTTGTCAGAACTAAGGTAATCTATACATTTTGTGTCGGAGGAGTCATGGTCATATTATGAATGGGGTCAAAATTTTGTTCATCCCAGTTTTATTTTTAGTGATTACTTTGTACAATTTTATGAGGCCTGCTGATTGTGGAAAGGCCTTATTTGTTGTGCATTTCAATAACTGTGATGACCTAATGAGTTCATTAAAGTGCCTCGATGTTGTTCAACCTTTTCCGAAAGGAGTTGATGCTCCATGGTTCTGTCTCTGTATAATTTAAGTCAGAGGTGTAAAAAAAGCTAAGAAAATGGTACAATTTTCCTGATCTCATGTCCCTGGGTACTTGTTCAGAACAAAATTTGTTCTTTTATACTGGAGAAGTGAGCCTTTATATTATACTATATTTTAGAAGCTTCTGGAAAGTTTGTTCTTTAGTTTTTTTAATACTCTTAGGTTAGGACGTTACTTACTCGTATTACTGATTTATTAGTAGACTAATTTTTATGGTAATCTTGTTTTAAACTTATTGGTTTGCAGTCATGTATTTTGGGTACTGCTCCAAGATATTGGTTGGGGGCAGTTTTAGCTTTGAAAAATTTAAGTGCTGACAAAATTTTCTGAGATATTTTGGTTTATGAAACTTGTGTTTATAGAGAGACTCATCGTAGTAATCTTCTCTGAGACCCTCCCTGATTTCTGTATAGATGTACACTAACTCCATTAGTAGAGAATCTTTGGTGTAATGACTAAGTTAACCACCACTTTGGCTTTTACTACTAGTAGTGGTAGTAGTGGTGAAGCTTTTGTTCTAAGACGAATGTTTCTGAATTTCACAACGTCAGTTTGTTTAAAAAAGTGTGTTCATCATTTTGTTATTATAGTCTGTTAGGTTTTTTGATGCCTTACAGGACAGTATAGTTGGCTATACTGTGGTTAAGAGTCCTCAAAGGAGCTTTCTTTAACATGGGTTGTTGTACATTGTCATTGTACGTGATGGGTAGTTTTCAGGACGCCGGTCTTAAACTTCATCCTTTCCGAGTTTTATAAATTTATAATGTTATTTAACGATGTATACACACGGTGATGTTGCCTACTCTTTTAAAGTTTCAGATAAAGCTGACCGAATTGAAAAAACTATTGAATCAATAACGAATAATTACCTTTTGAACTATTTTGATTTGATTGATTAATTAATTTTTTTTTTGATTTTTGGTTTGTTGTGGAAGTGCTCCAAGACAACCAACCGTCTTCAGCCAATGTCGAATGACCAGAACTAACGCGCGTCCTCACTGAGATATTAATGAGGCCTTTGCCTTTCTCACTCACAAAGACCCTAGAGTCTAGATGCCGTTGCTTCTCTTTGTCTTGAGGCGTTGACCGACTTGAGGGGTTTGACATCATTCATCATTACTAAAGTACCACATGTACTAATGAGCGCTGTTCGCACGTTAATATACTGCCGGGGAAAGCATATTTTGGAGTGGGTGGTTGGCGGGTGGCCATGGTGTGATGTGGTGTGGTTTTGTCTTTGTCTCCTATTTCTTTCTCTTGTAAAACATTCTATCCCACGTCTTTATCTCTCTTCCCTGTTTTCTTAGTACAGGTATGTTAAGATCGTGTCACACTCATTATCTTCGGCACTTATATTGACCTATTTGTGTTGCAAATGCCGTACGTCTAACTCTTACTAAACTGAATTATATTTCGAGCGAATAACCAAGATGAATATTATATATATATA